AGCAGCGAGCGACACGCTGCATAATACCATGTGTCGATATATGCACGCGCCGTGTGATACCTATCTGTTTTCATTCTAGTTCCATTCTACAAAAACGAATCRAAAACAATAYGCGTTTTATAAAACAAAATTTCCTTATATAAACACCCGGGTACGATCAAGTCACGGTGGATTGGCAGATTGTTCACTAGTTTTATCGCAACGACTTCATAATATTTCATATACCTTAAATATTTACCTGCRTTCGTCATAATTTTTAATATTTATACACCTAGACACTAAACAAACAAGCCTACTCGTGAAAGCGGTTTTGAGAGGGTTCAAACCCATACACTATATGGGTCCACTAGACTCAACTCACTGTATTCATACTCTCAATTCTTATCATTATAATAAAAATTTCAGAAACTATTGAAGTTTAAGCCATATCTTTATAATATAACTAACTATACACTTATATCTGATACGTCATAAACTTAAGACTTGCAATCTATGTCARTAAAAAACAAAATTATCAATAACATTGGTATAAATTTAAAGAAAAGATATCGCTCTGCTGTACAGTAGGTTACAAGTGGGTTACTGTAATGGATGGAATCAAATTTGAATCCAATTATATTATATCATAGTATACGAGAAACGATTCTGAGCTGAGACGGTTTATTAGCCTAGGATATATTATAGATTATTATTACTTATTATTAATAGTTAATACTTATTAAAATAATTGACTTTCCAGTGGACATTGTTTTTTTTTTTATGAAGGTAGACAAACTTATAAAGAATCTTGAATTAAATTTTAAAATCTTAGATTTAAAAAGAAAATTTTTATGAATTTCTAGCTTGAAATAATTTGTGAATTTTCGTGATTTTTGCGTATTTTGTCCTAATTCAAACTTGTAATGCTAATAAAAAAAAAAAATTGTGACTATGTATTTCTTTTATTTTTTAACTGCTATTGTAACAATACGTTAGGAGGCAGGAGCCTTGTACTAAATTTTCAAGATTTTCTACCCAACAAATACATTTTTATCGATATTAATTTAAAAAACTAATAATGATCGAAAATTGCATATGCCTATAAATAATTCAACTAGAGTTGATTTTTTTTGAAAATTACATGGTGGGTAGAGATATACTTAATACTTATACAAACATTCGATGAAAATTTCATGTATCTATGGTTATTTGTTTTAAAGTTACATCAAAAATCAAATTCGATTTTATTGAAAACTGATTGTGCGTAAAATTTCCCGTTTTTCCCTTAATTTTTGTTTATTTATCCTGATTATTTAGAAAAATATCGAGAATTTTTTACTTTTAATTCTCCAAAATACCAACTAGATTCACTATCTAATCAAACGAGGTACTGAAGTCGAAAATTAAAAATCGAAGCACTTTTACTGCCCAAAACGTGATGACAAAAAAAAAATACACACATTATGGTAAAATCAATACATTCCTCGCTCCGCTCAGAATCTAAAAAAAAAACTTGATGAAATTTTGATGACGCGCAGACTATATCTGATCATCAAATATACAAATTTTATAGTATTATATTTTTTTATCTAAATAAAGTTATTACTGTCTAAAAAATCAATTTATATATACCTATAGTAATATACATAAAAGAAGACTTTAAGTCTTTTAAATTTTTTTTACAAATATCTTCATTGGTGGATAGCGCTATGATTTGTTGACTTCGTCCAGTCGTTGCCACGAAAAATTTAAATATATATGCCAGGCATTAACAGATAAACGCCCCTGTAGTTAACGTTAGAACATATATTTTTATATATTTTTATTGAAACGGTATTCGATTTCACCGTCAGAATGGTCATATTGTTGTAAACTATAATAAATATATGTATATATATATATAGTAATATATGCATATTATGTGTTTTCCGACTTGCACTTACGCCGTACAATATACGAGTAGTATTAACGACTTACAACTGTC